AAAAGGTAAGAAACTGTTCCTGACCCAAAGATTGTAGTCTGAAAGCTGCACAGTAGATGAACTGTGCAGGAAGAACCATGGGAACAATAACCACATCCTGTGGGTGCACAGAGATTTAGATACATGAACAGGGTATTTCAGTGACAGAGGTACCTGTACATGTTGACTGCTTGCCTGTTACTGTTTGCATGATTCAGACAAGAAGCAATGGCACAAAATAGCCTGGGGAAAGTGCCATTCAACCAAGAGAGCAGACTTCAAAACTCTGGGTGACCCAGGACTTACAGATAAACAGCACAAATCCAGAATCATGGCAGAAAATATTTTTAGCAGGGTCATTTTTGCTCTGACAAGTGTTATACATATATTTTGGAGATGCCTAGGAAGGCCCTCATCAAATCTACGGGGTAGGCAAATACAACTAAGAAAAAAATCATGTCTCATGAAATGAGAGCCATGTCATCAATAAATCAAAAGGCAAGTTTAGATGACTTATAAAATATTTCAACGTTACTTACTGCAAACCATCAGGTATATAGCTTGTATTCTTTTCATGAGGAATTTCTGGTATTTCATTCTGTTAATATTGACAGAGACGTGTCTATTGAATGGTCTCCAGTATTTCAACAAGTTTCTAGTAATACTCTTCACATTTATTTCTTCTCTTGTCAAAGTGGACATAAATAGAGTTAAGTAAGATATTTTCCTTTGCATCATCAAGCTACTTTGAAACTTTGTAAGGCTGGTTACTAAAATCTGTTCAGGCTGCTTAATGCATAGAATCACCCTGCAGTAAGTTTTAGCAATAGAGGAACACACCACGATGCACTATGGCATTCACATTGTCATGGTATGTGTGCAAATGGATGCCCAAAGCTCAGCATTTCTAAAACAATTGTGCCATTCATATGAAAAGCATTTAGACATCAAGAGTCCACCAAAAATGTGTGGATGAATTAAGTTCTAGGGGGGAAAGGACTCATCCATTTGAAACAACTGAGGATAATAAAGCTTCTTAACTGATCACAGATAATGAGCCACTTCCCACAGACACACTACAATGGTACAATGAAAATGATAATTGTATGATACAAAGCTGTTGTCAGGCCTTATCCTGAATATTGGGCACCATTTCTAGTCATCTGTACTCAAGAAAGAGGAACAGAAACAGAAATAAACCCAGAGCCACCCAAAAAGGATAATCAAGGCAATGAAAAACCTCTCTTCAGAGGAGATGGAAAGATTTGGTGGTTTTAGTTCAGAGGAGAAAAGATTATTGCTCTCAACAGTAGGGCAAATACCAAAGGCAGGGAATGAGGACTTCTGAAGATAATCACACTGGCAGAAGAACAAAGAGGTATAGCCTCTTTGGCTATAGGAAATTAATACATTTGGGCTGGATACAGAAGAAAACTTCCAAGCATTAGAGAAATTACACTCTGGACCAACACTGCAATTAAAGATAGAGCATGATGCTAAACAAACTTTCGTTTAAAAAGATAATTAATAAGTTGAAGAACATCATTACCCAAACCAGTCACTGTGACAGCAGCCTTCCCTCCAGCTGTATCCTGAGGGTTCAGCAGGTGCAATTGACTCTGTCTTTGATTAGAAAATGAACAGAGGTGCAGCGAAAAGCAGGGAGTACCTTCCTGATTCAAAGACTTAGCAGACTTCATTTAAAAGTCTGCAATGTTCAAAAACATCTATTTCAGTCATAGACAAAGGAAATAGCGAAGCAACTTGCCAGTCAGCCATTGCAACAGAAAAATCACACACAAGATAACAATTTTGCAAGCCGCCGTTTTCTTTAACTAGATAGAAAAATTAAAAGAACTAGAGTAATTTTCTTGAACTGGAAGTCATTTTAAAAGAACAAATGTTAAGAGAAGTTAATTTTCAATCTGAATTTCAGTTTGGGATTTGTTTTTATATATGTTCTTTGAGAAGATTGGTCAGAATATAACCAGATAAATACCATTCACTTTGGAAAGACTCATTAATTTTGAAAAATTGACCTCTCAACAGGAAAATACCTAAACTCAAACAGTTTCTCCAATAATGTATTGATAGTGATGTTCATCTTACAATACATAAGGATTTTCATATTCTTATCAGGCAGCAAACTTCAATTGTGCTATCAGCAAGCTAATTTGACATCATAATTCTCCATCTAACATCTGTTGATATTGCTTCAATCTGTGACTATTATGCATTTACTGGCAAGCCTCATTATGGCAATAGCTTTTAAAACTGCAGTTGAAATTAAAACCCGATTTTTCTGTTCTTAAGGCAATAGTGCCATCTAGTGGGAAATATTCAGTTTTTTTGTCTTATTCTGGGCAAAGGAGCTCAAAGCCTTTCTTAGACAAAAAATTCCTCAAGAAAAAGAGATGTAGTTTTTTTCCCCCCCTAAGTTGGCTCCCTCAGGTTAATACATAAACTTTCATCTAAAATGCCCACTATCCCTTTCTAGTCACTCTGGTAAGGTTTCATAAGATTTTTGCTCTGCTCCAAGGTGTTCCACAAACCACAGCCCCTGTCTGGGTATGTGCCTAGGGACCCAAGTCCTGCATCCTGCCAGGAGGGTCCCATGGGCATGAGGCAGAGCACTCAGCCCAACTGCAAGTAGTGCTACTCTGCATTGTCCAGCAAGAATAGCCTCACCAACCAAGTCCATGCTGTGAGTCCTCGGCTCTGCTGCACGTGTTACACACACACACACACACACACACACACACAGTGGCCAGTCCTATCTTAACCCTGCCTCTTCTGGAAACCTTTTCAGACTCTTTTATCTGATTTTGTGCCTCCTCTCCTTTTAATGGCTTTTCCCCTCAGTTTCTGCAGAGTCAAAAATATCTCACAAGCCAGAGAGCACCTGACACCTTTTTACATTTAAAATGTCTATCTGTCCTGCAGTGTAAACAATGAGGATGCATCTGGTTTTCCCACAAGCAGTGTGTCTTCTTTCTTTCCTTTTTAATAATGGCGGTTATGCTTGCCCTTTTTCAGTCTATGTGAACTTCATGGGACTGCCATGACTTCTCAAACACGATGGATAGTGGCTTAGTCACTTCCTTGGCTAGTTCCTGTGGACGTTACTCACCACATGTCAGGGGCTTGTGCACCTTCGGGTTCCTGAGATGTTCTCAAACTCATTCTCCTCTTACAGCAGACAGTTCTTTGTGGAATCTCATCCTGCTAAGATCTTTAGCTCAGATGCTTCTACAGAGGGTTTTGACCTCAGACCATGGCAGATAGTGTATTGAGAGGGGGTGACCTAATCAGGTCACAGTGGGACCTATAGGTTCTTGTGAGTAGTATGTAATAGAACCTTCCTATATTTGGTCATTTCCAGTTTTCCTTCTCTGTTGGTTTAGAACTTTTTTCTTATAAGGTCATGTTCTGAGTTCACCTTCCTGATTGGACCTGTGCCCCTATACCTGGCTGCATTTGCCCCATCCAAAAGGTTTTTGGAATCTAGCCTCTGTACCCTGTGCCACCATTGTTATTTTCATTATTAAAGGTTTAATTTCCCAGGCTATTCCATCATTCCCGTTCCTCTTTATTAGCCAGCTCCTCCCAGCTAAGCCAAGTAGGGGTATCACAGTGGGCTGTAGTGGGCCTCATTGACTCAGTCTTTCTGGCCAAGTGGCCTGTAGCAGTTCCCCACTAATAATGACACCTGTTCCAGCCCTCCCTTTAATCCTTACCCAGTCAGCTCCTCACCCACGTCCAGGCCAAGCTCCATGCACTCCAGCTGGTCGACAGAGAGGGCAATACCATTCATCTCCCATGCCTTTCCTTCATAAAGTGCCCCTGCTCTTCCATTCCCAGCCCTCCAGACACAGGAACCATCCCACCACTTCTCAGGATGCCAATATGGTCCATAGCCCTGCAGGCTTGCATACATCTCTAGTTTCTCCTGTTTACTTCCCATCTTACCCGCTTTTTTTAGAATAGAGGATTTAAGCTGGGCCCCTGGTGAAACTCTCTGACTGCAGTGGCTGGAATTCCTTGGTGCTATTCCTTCAGGCGTTCACCGAACTGCACACCCTCTCCAGGCTCTGGTCATCTCTTTCTGGCTCAGAGAGCCAACTAGTATGAATGGGATGGCATGTCATCCCACATCTTATCACTGTTAAATCTCTTCAGGTCTCTCCAATTTTTACACTTAAAGTGCAATAAATGCCTACAGTAAGAAATAACTAGACAGGATTTTTTCACTGTATTCACAATCACTGATCTATCAATACAGTATGAAAGCCCACTAAGTGTGATACTGAAGAGGCCTCACATATTTCAAGCCTACAAATACTCAGTGGCACACTTTCAAAATACTTCTAGTATCAAACTACAAATTTTTATTATAATAATTTCTAAGTTAGAATGTATTTAAACCAGGACTATTACTGGCCTTGCTAAAGAACATGTGAGCATTCATCCATAAATGTCAATAAAGCCCTGGGGACTCCTGGAGGATTGGCAGTTTATGACTGCTCTGTGCAACTTATGCATTGCAGCTAAAAAATTCACTTTATCACAGGGATGTATTAAAAGGCTGCTGTGTGAGACTGCCATATCCTATGATTATTGCTATTTTCTAAAATTGTAAACAAGAACCAATTAATTACATTGTGTTCAAGCAACAGCTAACCTCAATATTCTGCAACATTCATCATTTAGGTTATATTAAACATCCTATAAAGATGTTTAATATAAGATGTTTAATTAGTAAGATAAACTGCATCATTTGGAATCTGAGGGAAGCAAACATTCTAGATGCAATAATTCCATCTCCACCTGCAAGATTACATCATGGCTTCCTGACCGCTTTGCAAATTTTGCCAAATGATCCTGTACTGCATGCACTTTTTTTAATTCAAAAGTGTTTCGTTTCTAAAATTATAAATAAGCCTTCTATAATTCTAAAAAACACACTGAATACAAACTCCATTTGGAGTGACAACCGCCATTTATTGAGAGATTTGAGGTATTTCCGAAGAGAAACGACACCAGCAAAGTTGTTGAATCCAGTTGTGTTGCACTGCAGGAAGATGTCCAGTTAGCAGCGCCCTATGGAAGAAAAAGGTACATTTCAGTGCAACTGTATTTTCTAAATCTCTAAGTTGGGTTGGCTTCAAGATAGGCACACACTCATGCTGCCTGAAATCCCTCACTTCACTGCCACAACTTAGCCATCTCTTTGGAATTTGAAAGGCTGGAAGACAGCAGATTTACAGTAGCAAACTGTCTCTCGTGTAAGGAAGGAAGCAAGTTTTACTTACTATAGCACTGGCCACAGTGAAGGCAACCAGCAGAGAGAAATCATGACAATGGTCCAAGTAGAGTGAAAAAACAAGCTTTCCTCCAAGTAAAAAATCTCAGCCTTTTTCCACTCATAAAAAAAAGGGGGCTATCCAATTTAACACTTCGGCAAGTATTTTAGAATCAGAGACAGTCAACATGTAATTTTGTTCTTTTGTTCAATTGTTCAAGGGCTTGATGTGAAAACCATGAGTCACTAGGAACCAATATGCCACTTACTTCTGACCCTCACTGTTGAAAGACTGCGGCTTCGAGGCACCTGCAAGACAAAGAGAAAAGGAAAATCAGGTGTGCTAAAGAACTGTAACCAAAAAAGTCACCTGGGCACCCATCAACATTCAGAAAACCTGCACATCTATCAGTGCAGCTCTACTGTTACAAAGTCAAGTTCAACAACTTTCTAGTTTTCTTTCACATCCTGCACACACACACAAAAAAGGGAGCCCTACCCAAAGCCTCTCACATTTTCAATATTCATATTTTAAGTTGAGGGCGTCTATGTCCATTTAATAAGATGGGCTAACAACTAGAAAAATATACACATTTTTAACAGAAATAATTAAAAAACGTTTTGTAACCACACAATATGCAGAACTCTGCTGAAGTTTCACATATCTTATTTGTACCACCTTCCTTTCCTGCTCACCCTACTTTTCTTTTTGGCCCCTTTGATGCATTTCATAAATTAGGAGTAAATTTAGGTCACTAAGTCCAGGAGGCAGGAACTATGTGTTGTATATGTACTCCAAAATTACTGAAACACTTCCAGATGATGCAATTATTTATTCGGAAGGGCAATAAAGCAGAGTAGGGGCAAAGCATTCCAAGATCCACAATTGATGCTTCTGAGAATTTAACTATGATCTACTTCTCATACAGTATCTCTACTGATCATTATACCAGGCAATATCTATCTGTCAGTTCAGCTTCACCTCATTCGAGACCGTCAAGCAAAGGCACTTATTCCCAGTGTTAAAATGTACATGTGGCACATCAGCATTTTTAACAGGTTGCCTACATTCCTAGTTAAAAATACTTGATATGCTGTTAACACTACAAATATTGAGCTGAGGCTTACACCACACAGCAGAGGACGGCCACAGCTGCAGCTTCTGCTTCTAATCCTGCATCTGCGAGGACACTACAAGAGAAAAGTAGGCTCTTGTAAGTAAACCTCTTCTGAGAGAAGGTTTAATAAAGACACACTTTGCAAGCCATACTGGAGACAAGGTTTGAGGACAGAGAGGAAACACAGTAAGCTTTCTGCTTAGAACAGGTTCTGACAACAACCATATATCTGCATAATTAATACATGAAGGAAAATGGAACTATTCATCCTATATACAGGATGAGGCACTAAAACCTAATTGATGTTTGATATACTACTCCACCCATATAGGGGACAGTTAAAAACTTATCTTTTTAAATTTTAAAAACAGTGTTGAAATCCACTGACTTTCCCTTAACATTTTTCTTTAATAAAATACATACCATAACCATTTTTTTAGTGACTACTTCTCCTTTCACAATAACAGTGCCGTCTTCTACCAGAGGAGGCCAGACGTGATAGGCCACAAAGGGAGCTGCGAAATCGGAGTCAAAGCTACGATAGTACCTGTTGAAACAAACAGTACAAGAAATGTCTGCATTAAGTGCCTAAAGAGAAATATGTTCCAAATCATCAATGTTGATAAAAAGTAGCTACTAGTATCTTTCCACATCACAAAAATATGTATTCTTAATGTGATCCTGTAAAAGAAATGGACTTGGGAGACAGACTTAGCAGAACATACTGTTTACTTATCCTGACAGACATTCTAATAAAGTCATCTAACACTTCAGAAGGCCACTAGACCTTAATTTTTGCATAAGCCCCACACAAGCCAGGGCCCCTGTGTCCACTGACAGATTAAACCTTCTGAGCAGCAATTTGGCAGACACAGTCATCCCCGCTTCCTGGAATATCTTGCTAGAACAAGCCCCCTATAAGGACAAATAACACATCTGGCTTTATGGATTCAAACTCACAACAAATACCAAATAACATAAATTGTATTAAAAGCAATACATCTATACTTAAGTAATCTATTACAACAGTAAGTAATATAAAACAATGTCATAATCAGAGGCACAAAGCAAGGCATAGGGTACAACGATGTTTGGCTGGCTCTTTGTAGAATGCTATCACATGTAATAAACAGATATATTTTAATTTCTACAACTTTTATTTGTTCCATCTCTGTGTACCACATCCAAATCCTATACATGTAAGCATATACATATGCCACATTTATCTAGCTAGATAGACAGATGTATGTCTCCCACAGCAGCACACAAAAACATAATAAATGTTGTTTTTTAAGGCCATACACACCAAGTAGGTGGAGAAAGCATCTCAAGACTATATTACAGTGTTCATGCTTCCTAATTTAGCCAATAGTTTTGAGTGTCAAAAGCTAACTGTCCTATATTCAGATAGGATCATTGAGTAGTCCTGTATGATTTTGCACTCCCCTGTCGAGAGTCTACTTTCATATTCTCTATTTCTCTCCTTGACTTCTCAAGCTCTTCATGACCTGGGTTCCATTCTATTCTAAATTATTACTAGAAACCCTCTTAGTGATGTAAGGTGTTTTGCTTTTTAGAGCAATTTTTATGACCTATCAATTCCAATTATTTTCTAGACAACATGGAAGCACCCTACAGGTCTCTGCTAAAAAAGCAGCTTGACCCTACAGAAAAAAGAAAAATTATTAACAAAATTCTCATTTTTAAGAGGCAGTTTTGGTTTTGACCAGCTCTAAACCAGAAGAGATGGGAGCATATTAATAGTCGTATGTTGTACAGTAGCCACAGCCTGGAGGTTGCAGCAAACATGTTGATGACCCTGGTAATGATACCGACTGCAAGATCTCAGTAAATATGACTTTTACAGAACAGGCCAGGAAGGAGGAACAAGATGCAAGCATTTTTTAAAAGGCAGATAGAGACTAAGCAGGGAAAGCTGATGATCATTTTCTTCTTAAATAATAAATTAAATATGCTCTTGAGAGTGAAGTTTATCCAGAAAACTGCTCTGCTGTTCACTAAAAAAAAAAATTGCTGACACTTATGTACATGCTAGTATTTACCTTAAAGACATACCAAATTCACTACAGGCCAGGGGGTTTTGCCCTAAATTAATGTTTAGCAATCATGAACTGCTGTATTAATTAGGAAACAAGTAGACTACAAAACTTCTAATGGTAAGTCTGACTGAATATAGAAATTTCTTACATGTTCCTATTGAAGCATTCTCCATCAACACCATAGGCAATATCAAGAGGAGGAATGAGTGTCTGCATTGAATAAGCCAAACAGCACACCTCTCGAATCAAATTGCTGATCACAACGAAATCCAGTTCTCCTGGACATGGAAGCTTTGGGTTCCTGTTCATGCAGCAAACTACTTCCTGAAAATAAACATACATGAGTAATTTGCACTCACTAACAATTTTTTCACAAGCAACTGCAGAAATCCCCCCTAAATATGCCTCTCAGCTTTCTACATTTAAAAATCAGTATAAAAAACTTATAGTAATGTTGGCCTGGACTACTCCAGAAAACAACAACTTCAGAAGAATGTGCTGCTATGAACAAACCAAGCAAGCCATTACTAAGTCATACATAAGTCCTAGCAATGTTGTTCTAGAAAATAAACTGCTACAAGACAAAGTCCATACAGTAACTCTTTTCTCCTTCAGGTTACAGTGCATTTCTAATTTACATATTCTGAATTTACTAGCTCCTGAAAGAGATCACCACTGCCCTTGACTTACATGGACACTGCAACAAACGTCATACAGATCCTTGTGGCAAGCTATATAGTCCAGGACAGCAACTTCAAGTGACGTAGGTCCCCCTCTGAAACATATACCTAAAGTGTCTTTTACGTTTATTTTCACCCTCCAGAAGGCCATCTTTGCCGCACGGAAAGATTCCTGCAAAAGTAAAGAACATCAAGTTAAATACAGCAGAGCCAGTTTAATATTTTATCTGTTATCAGAAAATTAATAATTGAACCCACTATCATCAAAACAAGGTGGAATATAATACATTGCTGTAAAGGAGAAAATTTACTCATGAGGAAGGAATTCTCTGATTGAGTGTAATTTATTTGCAGAAGGCAATGTTGATCACCGCAGATACCATGTACTTTTCAGACCAAATCACTTGACCAATTTCAGACTAAATTTCACTCTTTTAGTATCCATACAATAAATCATTGACCCTGTTCCCATCTTGGGACAGGTCAGGTAGGGCACTACATTGAGAGTGCAATGTAGAAATGTGAGGGGAAGAAAGAAAAATCAAAATAAAAAAGAAAGCTTTTCTTCTCTGCACTTGACAGAAATGCTAATTTACCCACAATTTAAACCACTGCAGACATAGTATTTTACAACACACCTCCAGCCTGTAAAATAAGAAATAATATTTCTTTCTCACCACACATGCAATGTATACTATCCTCTGCACCGTCTCCAAGTTACAGACGTATCGCCTCAAAATGCACTCTGCCTCCAAGCGTTCTTTAGCGTAAATGAAGTTATAGCGAGCTATGAGGCAGGCACGGTGTGAAGCGCTGCCCCGCCTGATCCGGGGAGGTGTACAGGGCCTTGGGCAAAGGGCACGGCACTTGGGAGGACAGGGCCTCACGCAGGGTCTCACGCAGGGTCTCACGCAGGGCCTCACGCAGGGCCTCAAACGGCACGGCAGAGGAGAGATACAGGGCCTCACACAGGGCCTGGCACAGGGCCTCATACACGCCCTTGGACGACATGGTAGGCACGGTGGAGAGAGACACTTCAGACGGCATGGAGAGCCCGACCTTGGAGGGCAGGGTACGCATGGAGAGCAGACCCTTGGACGGCAGGGTATGCATGGAGAGCAGGCCCTTGGACGGCAGGGTATGCATGGAGAGCAGGCCCTTGGACGGCAGGGTATGCATGGAGAGCAGGGCCTTGGACCACAGGGTCCACATGGACCACAGGGTCCGCACGGACCACAAGGTCCACAGGGACCGCATGGACCACAGGGACCGCACGGACCACAGGGACCGCACGGACCACAGGGTCCACAGGGTCCACACGGACCACAGGGTCCACAGGGTCCGCAGGGTCCGCAGGGTCCGCATGGAGAGCAGGCCCTTGGACGGCAGGGTCCACATGGACCACAGGGTCCGCATGGACCACAGGGTCCACATGGACCACAAGGTCCGCATGGACCACAGGGTCCACATGGACCACAGGGTCCACATGGAGAGCAGGCCCTTGGACGGCAGGGTCCACATGGACCACAGGGTCCGCATGGACCACAGGGTCCGCATGGAGAGCAGGCCCTTGGACGGCAGGGTACACATGGAGAGCAGGCCCTCGGAAGGCACGGAGAGCAGGCCCTTGGACGGCAGGGTACGCATGGAGAGCAGCCCCTCACAGGGCATGGAGAGCAGGCCCTCGGAAGGCACGGAGAGCAGGCCCTCGGACGGCAGGGTACGCATGGAGAGCAGCCCCTCACAGGGCATGGAGAGCAGCCCCTCACAGGGCATGGAGAGCAGGCGCTTGGACGGCATGGAGAGCAGGCCCTCACAGGGCATGGAGAGCAGCCCCTCACAGGGCATGGAGAGCAGCCCCTTGGACGGCATGGAGAGCAGGCCCTAGGAAGGCATGGTGGAGGAGAAATACAGCCCCTTGGAACGCACGGTGGAGGAGAGATACAGCCCCTCAGACGGCACGGTGGAGAGAGACATCTCCGACGGCATGGCGGAGGAGTGCAGCGGGAAAGCCTACGACACACAAGCAAAGAAGCTTCATGTCACTTTACTATCCTCAGATGCTTTCCCTATGGCAGACTTCTTCGTCAATTTAATTTTTACAAGGGTAAGGTGAGTTTTGAGCCAAGTAATTAAAGAAGCTACAGCTGGTTAGTCTAATATGAAGGCATTTTCATAGAATGTTTTATGGCCTACAGCATAAACAGTAAAAGAAAAGTAACATGTAAAGCATATAAGGCCAAGCACTTGTGTTCCTAGGAAACACACCTTTAACTAGTAATATTTTGGAGATTTGTTCCTCTTTCAGTACCACCAAAGAGTACTGCTGAAGTCAAACAAGTAAAAATTGAATACTACAACTACAGAGCAGAACTCTGTAAAAGTACTCATCAACAAAAGAACTATTTCATACAGTTGCTATCCATGTATTTTGTAAAGGTGCATTATTTGCTGTTTTGTCTGAAACGTAACATAACTGCTTTAAAATAAAATATTTGGGCACTAGAACAAATAACCTAAAGAGTTTATGTTCCTTCATAACAAAGCAAAAAACCTTGGCTTTTGTTTATGTTTCAATTTAAATGAGGAAGAAATTCATGCTACCTAACATGACCGATTTCTATGATTCAGTGACTTCTCTGAGTAAGGTCTCTACCTGCTCTGGATAACAGACTTTTTGCAATCCAGCATAGCAATCTCATCCCGCAAGTTCTCAATCTTCTGCTCGTACTCATCTAGTTCCTCTAGCCTCTTTAAGTGGCACCGGGAAGCCTTCAGACTTAATGACACAGAACAGTCAGTCACAAGATGTCCTTCTATCAACGTAAACTATCAATTAATCCTCATCATCAAACAAAAGGAGCAAAAAAAATAGGAAAACTATTGACCAAGCTCCTTATGCTTGCTGAATAATTTCAGCATGCTTTCCTTATACTGAAATACAGGAAAAATCCAGAGTTTAAAAACAAATTAAACAAAGCAGACCCTTGATCTTACTTTAAATTGTGTAAGTGTATTGTGGCAGGAAAGTGGATATAGCACTGTGTGCTATAGGAACAATTACTGGTTAACATTTGGCGTCCTTATACTAGCTCAGATGATCAGGTCTAAAAGAAACTAATTTCTTTTTCACATTTAAGACAGCAACTAAACCATCTCAGTTTTCTTTCCTATAGATTAAGAACCTATGTATTGTCTCCTACCAGGTTCTTGGGCTCTTTTTCTTTGCAGAAATATATTAGTCAGTCAAAAGACATCAGAGATGCTAGTCAAGTAATACCAAAAGCTAACAATTCCTCTCCTGCTGTCCCCAAAAGCGGGAGTGATTCTTAAAGATTGGCAGACAACCAATGAAACAAGTTTATCTTCTGTCCTTTACTCTTAGTTAATAATAAAAACTATCCCAAAATCTCTGCTTTCCATCCAAATACCAGTATTACTGTTGCTTTTCTCTTACCAGAAGTGGAAGGCAAAAAGAAAATATGTTTTCTATTTATTTTGAAGGTATTCACCCTGTCCTTCCTTTTCCTTACTGGAGGACCCTGGTGAGATTTTTTTGAGACTCTGAATCAACAAAAGCTCTAACACTTATCAATTGATAGGATTCTTGTTCCACCTTTTTAAGGAACAAGCTGACTGAGATGACCACAGGTAATAAGGCCAGCAACATCTGCTAAGAGGAAAGACTGCCCAGCTCCATCCAAGTCAGCTCCTTCAGGAAGGACGTCTAGCAGAACAGTGGTAAAAGAGGGTTAAAGAATTCTACTACAAAGGACAATTGGGAAAGAAAAGCAGATTTGGGAAGATGAGCTCTAGAAGTAGGCATGGGGGAAATCCAAAATTATATTCTTGGAATCACTTAGTAAGGGCATGAAATTATATCACTTTATGCACTGACCCAAGACTTCCGGAACGTTCATTGTTCTCATGGTAACAGGATGCATGAGAATGTGTCTGCCACGTCGAGCTGCCTCTTAAATGGCCGTGCCACTGGTAATAACTGCACTAACTTGTATCTGAAGCAATTTATTAACTTTTATATTATAATGCTCCATAAAATATGTTTTATGCAACTAGACAAAAAGTCTTCAGGCCTAGTCACTCATCTGGAAATGATGAGTGACTTCCTCCATCTTATGACAGTGGCTTTTATCTTCTTGGACATTTATGTATCAATTACATTGTATAATTAATTGTGACATGTTGTAGGTCCTTCAATAAATGTTACACTGTAGCTACTCAATTGATTTTTTTTATTTAGGGTTTGCTTAGTATGCAACATTTCATAGACTATAACTCCACAAGGGATTGTCACGGACTATACAAAACCTTTTTATGTAGAATACTGGCATGTCTTTCAACATCTCTGTCATAAGCAAAACTTACCAAGTGAATTTATGAATGTGGGTGTGACTGTATCATTTGTACCCCACTTTGGATATATACACACGATACAGAGCTCAATGCATTTTGAAACTCTGCTTTTAGGCCAGAAATAAAACATTTTACAAACCTCCATCAATATTTAGACATCAAGGGAAAAAAAACAAAAACAAAAAGCAAACAGAAAAAATTGCAGTTAATTTTTTTTCCCTACTCTCGTTCCATCTGGTTGATCTGCACACGAGTTTCACTTAGTTTGTCCTCCAGCTCTTGCAGCTCACACCTTGGTTTGCAGGACAAATCTCTCAGCTGTAGCTCTCCTTCAGCTGACTCCTACCAGGAAATGAAGTCACACTGCTTGAATGTTCTACTTTATAAATTCCCTCAGTAAAGTACTAGAGCATAAAGGGCAGATGTATTTCTAAATATTTCAGCAATGACCATTCTTAAAGAAACTGAGAACAAAAGCTATTGCATTCTCTCTGAGACATAAGCAATACCTTTCAGGCACACCAAAGAAAGACTCAGTTATAGAAATAAAATATTCACTTATTTTATACTTCATGGTAGAAATTATGGAAGGCCAGCATATGCAGATTTACTGCCCGAATCATCAGAACAAAGCCTTTTGCAGATGTGTTGCATAGCTGGTTTTTTTCAGTTAGTCAACTCCTGATTGACTAAATAACCAACTCAAGTAAACTTTTTGGGAATTCGTGTATACAAAACAACAAAAGTTATTAGAACACAGAAGGCAAGTATCATTCCAGAAAGCACACTACTATACATGCAGCTGCCTTTAACAACCCATAAAATGGCCAGCTAGTACTGGAATTAAATTAGTAACTGTGCAATGGACTTTTCTTTAAATTTTGAATGTCACATGCAATTGCAAACCTGCAGCTGGTATTCCTGGTGTACTGTCATTTAATAACTTTGTTGTTTAATATTTTGGGAGGGTTTCGGCACACCACCACTCCTGATTCATAATAGACTCTAACTCTTAAGGGATATCACTTTTTATTTGTCCTATTTTAATTGTGAAATATTTTGACAGATCAGGTGTAAAAATGAGAAACCAAAGAACATGGAGACATCACTATCAAATCTCAGGATCTTGAAGATCTTCCCCTAGCCTGAATTAGCAAAGTCTCTTATTTTCATTCAAACCATAAAGCCACAACAGATCTGTCTTTTCTGTTAGTATCAAACTGTTAGTATTACAACCCCTTCAGTAAATACCAAATATATATGAACTCCAAATATCATGGCAGGAGCATAGTGGTATCATGACACACATGAACACTTTTTTTTTAACACTCCAGGAAATAATACAATGTTAAGATATCCTTAGGGTTTTTTCCTTAAAAAAGAAAAAAAGTAAAAGGAGCTCACAGATTAATGCATGGAGTTTATGCACACTTTCAGCTTACACATGTATTTTCACAGTGCTCTTTTTTTCTAAAAAAGAGATATGGCATAAATACTGCTATTATGTCTCTGAAATGTAAATGTAAATGGCAAATCTGTACCTAGAAAAGGAAAGCAGTATAATAACACAGACTTCTTATACAAAGCAAATCCCTCCATAATAGTATAGTTGTCTCCATAGGTGCCTCCACAAGCAACTAAGGATATATTTCATTAAGTAAAATCTGAGGGAGGCTAATATTAACAGAAAGTCATTAAAGCACTTCTGCAGGTATAAATTCACCTAGTTCTATTCCCTTAAAATGAGTTTCTTACACACCTGATTGAGGTTGTCACTTCCTGAAGCAGTACATATATACTTGGCAGGAGACAGCCTTTTAATTTTGCTGCACAATCCTCTAAAAATACAAACATTAAGAAATGCTAAGAACATGTACAGAAAAAGCCAGAGTTGGAAAAAATGGCACATGTGAAATGTGTAAGTAATTGGACAAGGCATCAATTTACCTCCTTGGGATGTTTCATTGAGAATTGAGAAGAGCTGCTTTTGAATTGCCTTGTTCAGTTCTAACACTTCACAGCATCGGCTCAGATTTTCCTCAGCAGAATTCCCCTGTTAATAATGTGCATTATGACATCTGTGTGGGCTTTCTTACTTAAAGTTACTCCTGTTACAATCATGACACATTCTCCCCCATAATTACATCTTCCCAACCTTTTCCTACTGGATCCATTAGAATGCTTATTTTTGAATACTCATTTCTAATAGGCCAATGAGCAAAACAGGACTTCTATGACCCACTTCATTCACTACTTGAGAAAGCATACTCCTTTATCATCATAAAGAGGATGCAACCACAAGTTGAGTTAAAATCTTCCAACAGTTATTAAAATAATAATCTAGAAGATTGTTGGATTTTAAAAAATAGCCCAAAATCTGCTTTTCCATATTAGCTGAAATAACACATATAAGGCTCTTATCTTGCTTTGTCTATTCCTAACCAAGTTTTGATGGAGAGGTCAGCTCCCACTGCCACTCGGCCCTCCTAAGGCCTACCTCCAACAACCATTTGCAAGATTTTGAAATACACGACACTGTTCCTTCTCTGGCCTCCTCTGTGGTAGCTTTACCGGCTACTCCCAACCTCCTTAAAACCGCCCTTTGCCTTGAATCTTGCCGACAGTTACACCGGTTATGTAACTGTAACTCCTATTCAACCATGAAGTAAAAGAAAAAAACTAATTTCCCCTGAAAACACTGCATTTCTTTTCTCACCAACCACAGCACACACAGCAGGTAGTTACAAGTTCGTGACAAACTATCTGCATCCTGAAGGTACAGAAACCTGGGGATGCCGGACGATAAATTCTATCAAGATTTTTTTTCCACTGAGCAAAGTCACTGCTGTGAAGTCTCGCCTTTCCCTAATTTTACACTTTCTCTACTGCTTCCACTGTTTCACCCCCTCAGCTCACCTCCGGTCACTCCTGGATGGACTCCATCTCACCCCTTCGGCAGCTCTTCTTCAACTAACGGCGCTCCGCCCGTACCGCCTGCCGTTTCTGAAACCGTTTGCCGCCAACGGCCGCTAGCCGGCCGCGCCGCGCGCTGCCCGGTAACCGCCTCTCTCGCGCACAAGCTTCTCCCCCCCCCAAAAGAGCCGGGATGCTGGGTAACCCCGTCTCACTTCCAGCAGCCGTTTTCCTCACTCGCACTCCTCACTCAACTCTGGCTTTTTCTGTACGTGTTCTTAGCATTTCTTAATGTTTGTGTTTTCTTAGATGATTGTGCAGCAAAAATAAAAGGCTGTCTCCTGCCGAGTATATGCTGTACTGCTTCAGGAAGTGACAACCTCACTCAGGTGTGTAAGAAACTTATTTTAAGGGAATAGAACTAGGTGAATTTTTTCCAGACTGTACCTAGGCCCCAACCGTAGTCCTTCCACCGGCCGTTTTTCAACGCTCTCCTCCCTTCTAAGCACAGCCGGTACCGATCAAATCTCACTTTTAATCTCCAACCCTTCTTTTCAGGGAACCTTGCCACGGACAAAAAGCGAAACAACTGAAGCTGTGGGAGCTTAACAGGTCTTAAAACTGCGCTAACTGGACGCGCGTTCCGGGCAGTGTCCCAGACCGGCCCGTGGACCGCCGAGCGAGGGCGGCTGCCTCTGGCCCCGAGGAGTGGCAGGACTCACCTCATAGTCCTGCATTTCCCGGGCGTTTCCCCCGCCCACGAGGCTGTTAATTTCTTTGGCCATGGCTAGATGTCAGCTCGCTCTGCTGTCCCCTCGGCAGAGTATTCTTCGGGCGGCGCAGGTGTAATGGAGATGGTAATGCCAGCCCGGGCCCCTTCCCTGGGCTTGGCCGCGTCCGAGGGCTTCCACAGCCGCGGTGGTGTCTTAACGGCTGGCGCGGCGATGGCGGTGCCACGGGACTGGGGGGGGGGGCTGCGAGGCGCCTCGCGGGGCGCGTGGACGGTTCGCGGCCGCCAGGTGACGCTGCCGGATAACGACGGTGCGCGCGAGCTGCGGGGACCCGGCGCGCGGAGCGGCACGTGGGGGCGCTCGCGGGCCCCGCGCAGCGGCGGCGGCGGCGGCGGGGAAAGATGGCGGCGGCCGCCCCCGAGCAGGTCCGTCCGCAGCGGGACGCGGGCACGGCGAGGCGCGGCGCCGTCTCCGCCGGGGCCAGGGGGGAGCGGGGCCGCGGGGAGCAGGCGGTCCGGCCGGGGATGCTGGTCGCGGAGGGGGAGCGCGGGCGGGGGCGCCATTTTCTCCGCGGGGGGCGAGGCTGGTGTGGTGCCGGAGTGCTCCGGCTGGGGAGGGGAGAAACGGCGCTCGGGTGGCCCTTCCCGCCTTGTGCCCGGACGGGACGGGCTCGGGGAGAGACGGCCCGAGCCTGCTGTCCGGGCGGGGCCCGGAACGGCGCCGTCCTGCCCGCAGGCGTGGGTGTGTGACAGACAGAAACACTTTGTGCTCTGTGTGAGGCGCCTGGCGTTGGAGCGGTGCGCGGACGCCGCCGCCGCGCCTGTCGGGGCGCTTGGCGCTGCCGAGGGGGCGGGAGGCAGCCGTGGGTGCCTGCGGGGCTCCGCAGCTCCTGTGGGCTCGGCAGGGTCACAGGGAGTCCAGAACATCTCCGAGGCAGCGAAGCCTCCACAGACTCGTCCAGGTCAAGCACCTTTGTCAACACAATCTCTTAATAGTTCTTCAACAGCAGAAGAAAATACGGTGTTGTTACTCGTTGCATCAGTGTGGATATGTGCAAGTGTAGTTACTTAAGGAGTAGTTTTAGGGTTCAAGTGAACAAACTTAATTCCATCCGAAAGATCAAACTCCTTTGAAGATGTGAATCCCTGAATAACAAACCGTTCCATTCAAGGGAAGTGGAACAAGATTTTGGACAGCTATGAAAATACATTAAAGGTTTATTTTTACTATGAATACCTACAAGAGTTTCCTCTATTACTTTGTTACGTTGACAGGATATCCCTTACAATCTCATAACTTCAGATTATTACATGAAAGCTACTCTGGCCAAGTGCCCCATGCCAGGTTTGAAGCCTCATAGTATCTTTATCAATGCTGCATGCAAGCAACAGGAGTTGAACGCAAACCTTGTGCTGTCAAACTAATTTAAAAACTGTATCCACCACTCTCTTTTTGAATAGTCACTGGGAGTCTATCACATATGAGCACAACTAAAATCCTGTGTATTGGCAGATGACCTGCCAGTTATGTCCTCTATCATCCCTGAGAGGTAAACAATACCCTGAGAGGTAATTAATTTCTTGGTAGCTGGTTTTAGTTTATTAACTGTAACAATATAATTAATAATTCCTATCTGCCATGATAAAAATGAGATATAAAGCCATATATTGTCTGAAAGTATCTGGATTTTAAACTTAAGTCATTGTGCTAGCAGAGGTTGCTGTGGTTCTAAGCGCTTATTCTGACAGCCAGGTAGGTGCCAGACTTAAATCTAATACTGAACGTAAGATCCAATATATCCCACTAGTCAATTTACGGTTTTTGCATACATATGTGTGTGCCATTGTAGCAAATTTGCATGCCTTTTAAAGCTGACCCGTGCCTTGTGTTACAGCAAAGCTCTAACGGCCCGGTGAAGAAGTCTATGCGAGAGAAGGCTGTGGAACGCAGGAATGTTAATAAGGAGCACAACAGTAACTTCAAAGCAGGATACATCCCAATTGATGAAGACCGTCTCCATAAGACAGGGTTACGTGGCAGGAAAGGCAACTTGGCCATATGTGTGATTGTTGTTCTTTTTATTTTGGCCGTCATCAATCTGATTGTGAGTATAATAGCTATAGTGTAAGCAACATTAGGTCGTATTTCATTTTGACAGTTCAGTAAAAAAAAAGTTTCCAGTATGGCTGAGGACTTAAAACATACTGAAGGAGATTCTCATTTTTCTTCTCTCTTTTTAGTTCTTTTTTAGTCTGAGCAAGGTTAGATGGAAGAATGGTGTAAGTTCAGGCATGAGTATTTAATGGTCACCTCATGAGAAGTGTTATTAGTACATATGCATTCAGGATTATATGGCATATAAAACATGGTTATATTTTATGTTACAGAGCTGTATGTGAACATTCAGAATTAACAAGCCACTATAATTTAAAGCTTCATTGTTCTAATCATCACATTTTTATTGCGTGTTCAATGAGAAGTAACAAATTATTTTTCATAATTGCACATCCATCTGAGAGGATGCATTCTTGCAGTTCAACATACTATATACCAAGCTGAACTGTTCAGGAAATTTGTTTAATTAATTATTACCCTTAAACAGAAAAAATATATAAGTATGGATGTGATTTAATATTTCATATCTATTTCATATATATAATATATATAAAAATAATTTCAGTCACTGTTTCAAGTAAGTCTAAAAATAATTTAAAATGCTTTTCATAATTAAATGTGTTGTGATGTTTTCAGTAGGAACAAACAAAAGTCAACTCACACTTAAAGCTCACTTTAACACTGGCATTACTAATTGTTCAAATAAAACATCTAATTAATGAAATAATTGTGGTAGGAAGATCTGAACAATCAACATAATCCTTGAAAATGCGTTTCTCTTTCAGATTACCCTGGTTATCTGGGCAGTGATAAGAATTGGTCCCAATGGTTGTGACAGCATGGAATTCCATGAGAGTGGCTTGCTGCGGTTCAAGCAGGTGTCTGACATGGGCGTTATCCATCCCTTGTATAAGAGCACTGTGGGAGGGAGACGGAACGAAGACTTGGTGATCACCGGCAATAATCAGCCTGTAAGTTATACCGTGAATTGAAAGTGTGTGAGCAACACTAGAGAATTACACTCACACTGCTGATAAATGTTACATTTGAAACATCATTAAGTTCATGCCTTTGTTTCTGAAGATTGTATTTCAGCAAGGAACAACCAAGCTTAGCGTGGAAAAAGACAAAACTTCTATCACCAGTGATATTGGCATGGAATTTGTTGACCCACGAACACAAAATACTTTGTTCAGCACCGACTATGAAACTCATGAGTTTCATCTGCCAAATGGAGTTAAAATCTTGAATGTACAAAAGGCCTCTACAGAGAGGGTATGTTTCTTATTTTTTGTAAGTAATGAGAATACAGCCCATTGTTTGTTTGTGTAAGAGCAGAGTTAGTGGTTTTATAGGGGGTTGAGTGTGCCTTTGGAAGCACTGAGCAACCTTGTTGCAGAAAAAACACACACAACTATAAATAGATAGGAGGAACAGATTCAGTGAAAACAGAGGGGTAAATTTACATAATCTGTTTTAGCAGGAAGCCCATATTTGGTACAAGTGTTAGCTGTGTATCCCATAAAATTGTCATATGAATTGTTGTCTTTATACAAAAAATTAATTTTACATACCTTCCAAAATTCTGTTTTGAAATTCACCATGGAAAATAACAAATATGCAGAAGCTAGTGGGCAGAAGGGAAATTCAAGTTTTTTATTAAATTGCACAGCACTGCTTTCAGGGTAATTAAAGTTACTCAGACAAACACAAGTGGCACATTTTCACTAATCCATAATACAGTTTTGTTGGTTGTGTTCTTAGATTACCAGCAATGCAACCAGTGACCTAAACATAAAAGTTGATGGTCGTGCCATTGTCCGGGGGAATGAAGGTGTTTTCATCACAGGCAAGACAATTGAGTTTCGAATGGGTGGAAACATGGAACTTAAAGCAGTAAGTACTTCAAATGGAAGCAATTTTTTTTAACAGCTTAGTTTCAAATTTAGGCTGATAGTAAACTGATGTAGCTTTATATAGCTTCAAATTTTATATAAATTACTCATGCATAAAAGTCAATATATTTAGTAGGATTTAAATAGATGATTTATTACTTTGCTGTTAAGTAGTGGTTGAGTGGCTTCAGGTAGCACTGATTTACTACTGTTAAGACACCAAAAACCTACTATGCAGTTAAAGCTAAGCTATTGACATCAATACCAAAGGGAGTAAATCTCCTCTGGAAGCTTAACCAGGGTTGACAACCTTTGCCAGACGAGCAGTGCATATAGTTTGGAGCATTACCTTCTGTGCTGCTGCTGTAAGACTCACTAGCATTCCTTTAAGATTTTTGGAGATAAGATGGCAGTATATATGGAGTGATGGAAAAAAAGGATAAGAATAGAGGTATTGTGTGAATGAATTTCATGTATGAATTCAATTGCCTGTTTCATGTCCATATTTTACATTTACTGCAATTGCTAATAAGAATATAACATGAAAAGTCACCCTACTGCTGTCTTTTTCCATATCAATCCACCACTGGAATAGCAAAGTACATTGCTGACTAGAAATCCATAGGCATCACTATAATTTTCATTTAAAAATTAAACATTTGTACACATACCTTTTTTATTATTGTTGATTCTACAGCCATCCTAGAGATGTTACTTATCCATTAAAGCAGTTTGTCCTTCTCAAAAACAATCTGCCTTATTTACATTAAAAGTTGTAATTCTCCAATTTAATTTTTTCCTCTCCTAATAGGAAAACAGCATCGTCCTGAACGGAAGCGTGATGGTCAGCCCGACGCGGCTGCCGAGCTCCTCCTACGGGGATCAGTTCAACAACGGCAACTGGCTGCGCTTCAAGCTGTGCATGTGCGCCGACGGGACGCTCTTCAAGGTCCAGGTCACCGGGCACAACATGGGCTGCCAGACCTCTGCCAACCCCTGTGGAGCCACGCACTGAAACAGCTGTTCCTGGCACGGGCCTCTTGGTGTTTACATAGAGCTATAGGAAGTAATTGCATGCCTTCCAGGGTTTCTTTTTTTACAGCGGTTTATACTAACATTTCTTACATGGTATTTTTAAGGAAAGGCTGTTACGGTCAGCAATGTTAGGTCATCGTGCTGTTAGCTGCAATGGTGGCACTGAATCTGTAAGCTTTCAGTGTACATGCATACTGAAGTACCTTGAATTGGGATCAGTAGAATATATGTAAAGAACATGATCTTGGCAACAGCTCTACTGCCTACAGTTGTCTCTAGGGAAGGTTTTTGTCCTACGTCTCAAGTACTTCCACAGGAATGTCAACTTCTTGTTGGAAATAGATTTTCCTAGGATGGCTGAAGTGGCAGACTTTTCTTTCTTTTTGATACATTAATTTACCCCAAACTTAGGTGGCTTACCAGATGTGTACTAAGAGGGGTAGTGGCAGATTCACTTTAAAATATCGCATTATTTCTGCCATGTATTCGTTCTCACGTTGTTAAAAAATTATGCTATCATAAATAATATTTGCAAAGTAATACAGAGTATGGAAATTTAACTTGCATTTTGAAGTAGTCTTGTGGTTATTGAAGTGTTGCTTGAACTTCCATTCTATCTGCAGTTAATGCATTCTGCAGTTGCTTAATTTATGTGAAGTACTTACAAAACGTGTTTATAGTAAAAGTACATTTTTAAAAACGTACTTACAACTTGCTTACTACCCAAAAATAATGTTTTCCTGGGTGTTCTAATGTGAATAGTGTCTGAGTCCATTAATCAATAGGTAATAATCTGAGTATAACTGTTGCAGCAGTGTCTGAGATAGATCTCTCCTTCCTCATAAATGTCAGTACTGATGCATTACTGAGAAAATCAAAACTTTAAATCCAAAAGTTAAACTGCAGGTCTGTAATAATAAATGAGGTGGTAGGACATCAGGGTAAATACATGTGTACCAGAATTTGTCAGCAGTGAAACTATGGTGAACTGGGGCCTATTAGAGTCTTCCAACTGCTTTGGCAGCAGTGAGGTGTTTTGTGCTAAAAATAGACCAGCTATTTATAAGAGTCCCTCTTTCCTCACCCCATGTATTTCTTCAGTTTAAAACAGCTTTGTTTTGCAGTAGCGTCAAGTAACCTTAATATTGGAGGTCTCAAAGTGATTTTGTAACAGCTTTTTGACAAGTTTTTTGATAAGCATGCACTTCTTTACCTAAAAATTATGTGAGTTTTACACATTAACTTCAGAATTGATTATGTGTTATAGGAAGATAAACTATCTACCCACGTTTTACAGTGCTCAAAGTACATAGGATTCCATAAATCACAAATCAGCTCCTGCTGTAACAAGAAATTAATATCCAAGGTCCTTTCTGAATTTAGTGGCAGGCAGTAAGTACTCATGCAGAATGTGTATGGGTGGAAGTGATTTTTGGAGGGGTGTTCATCAGTCAGGCATTATGGCACATGGGGGAGGTCAGAGGAGTCATATTTCCCTCACTGCTCAAAGGCAAATGAGATTTTGGTGCTCAGTAGTTGTTGCATTTTTGGGGCTGGACAGCAGTGGAGCTGTTCTGACAAACAGAATAAGCAGAATATAATGTAGCAAAAACCACAGAGTTCTCACATTAAAGATTGTGGGGAAGTACTAATATTTTGCATACTTCCATCATGGACCTCATAGTTTTATCAGAGTTAATAGCTACTAAACACTTTGACACACATTTTGCTGCTTTACACCCACCTCTGCTGCTAAGCAGTGCCTCAATTAGTATCTGTTAGAGTTAAGAGGAGGAAATGGACTAACATTTTTAGAATTTTCACTCTCATGCTAATGGAAGTTTGTCACTTTATGTATACAAATGCAAACATATATATATTAAAAATTATAAAGAGCGGCATCCTCAAAGCTGAAGTACAGGTTGAAAATAACAGATACTACCTTGGTCAAGTAGGTTAAACACGTATTAAAGCTCTTCACTGATTAATACTGACTGCCTGTATGCTAGTATTGGATTCTTGTAATTATCAAGAGTTCTTTTTAAAATACTGTGTGCAATGTGCAGCTGAAAGATTTGTCACAAAGGTACTCTTAAATCATGATCTGCAGAATTGTTTTTGAAGTGTGGATTTTTTTGGTCAAAATGTAGCAAAACCAATCATAAAAATACCAAATGAAATATATTATCAAATTTGCTAGCCACTATGTATTGTTAATATATTTTATATTTATATTATACAGTTTGAGAAATGTTGGTACCACACATGCCTCTGTTGAGCATTTACTTGTTTATCTTCTAACTGCCTAAGTACATTTTTCTATATGTATTTAAAACATTGAGTGGAACACTGTTTATTTCAGTCCCACAGATGCACTTAAGATTCTGCATGTATAAAGTGTATTCTACATGCCTCTGTAAAATGCCATGCTGGGTATGCTGAAACAACTTGCATGTGAAGAGCTCTCACCATCTCTAAGTGTGGTGGTTGTTCCAATGGGTGAAAGGCAGTAGAATTTCAAATGCTTGTTTTGAAATAAAACAATAAATTCTAAGATGCAGCTGCAGTCCAGAAGTGTTATTTGTAAGAATATAGTTTTTCATTAAAAATACATTGTTGTGTTACTGATAGAGCTGGAAGTATAAAAATTGTTCCACACCTGTTTGTCATAGATTGTATGTGGTGGACTTTGCTCAGTGTAATTGTGTGCAATACCTGAAGCAGAGTTCAAAAGTCTCCACTGTTGTTAGATCTCAAGCTCCCAAGAAGTTGTGTTTCTCGTCCAAAAGGCTGGAAAAGGAAAAAAAAAGGTTCTAATTGTTTTTTGGGATAGATGGGGGAGGAGGGAGGTTGCCAGTTTATGAATGCTCTTTTTGAAAATAAGACTCCAAAACTGAATGCTCAAGGCAGAATGTTGGTAATGCTGTGGTTCTTCGGTGTTGATTTTTTTGTAATGTCAAACTCTTTATGCTTTCTATCCTTGTTGTGCTGAATTTAACCATAATTCTACGTTTTACATATAGATACTATGGATAACTATCACTTGCATGTCCTAGCTGTGGTCCTTTACTTTAATCTTCCTGGATCAGTGGGAGCCAAGTCCCAGCGGATCCTTCCTGCTACACATCGCCGTTCAGAGTGCCGGTGGGATGGGCAGCTCTTGCTCAATTGCTCTTTCACCAGAATGTCTGCTGTTCCAGAAGATACATCACAAACGGCAGTAACAGCTGATTTGAGTTACAATAATATTAAAACTTTTGTGTGCTCTGATGGAAGAAATGAAGAGTGGATGCTAAAACATCTGAACCTCAGTAACAACCTGATTTCTGAACTCACCTTAACTACTTGTACAAATTTACCCAATTTAGAAACTCTAAACCTCAGTGGTAATGCCATCCACACCCTCACACTGGAAATGCCTGCACCTGCACACAGGTCTAAAAACTACAGCATTGTTGATCGTCTCCTGCCTGCTTTGAAAGTGTTGTCACTTGAAAGAAATAATCTTAATACGGTTCCAAGAGGTAAGCATTTCAAAAATCTTTAAGGACTTGATTCCCAAGGGGTAGGTTGGCTTTGGATATAATTCATACATCTTACTGAATCCAGAATGTGACTTTGTCATTTTATTATACTTCAGGTGAGGGGAAGTTCCACTGGCAAATACAGAGGCAGAAGTAAATCGGTTGTTTGTTTACTTTGTTAGGTTTTTTATTACAGTGTTAGCAAATGTACTGCATTAACAGCAGTCAAATACAACCAGTTTTATCCTGTAAGAGCCCAAGCAGTATTCTTACTTGTTGTATAGAAAGGGGGAGTATGGATCTTTGGAAAGCTACCAGCCTCCACATCCCAGTCATGAACTTTAACACCAAAATAATTACAGATCATTAATTTCATACTACCCTTCAGAAGGAAATCAACACTCTTAAATAAAACTTGCTGTATTTAGGTATTTCAGAGACAGGAAAACATATTTTGTTTATTACTAACAATTTTGCTTATTGTTGTTTAATACTCAGTCACAGCGAGTAACAGGAGAGGGCTGCAAGGCTTCGAGAGACTTTGAGAAGAGCTTTGCTGGTCACTGAACTATGCTGGGCAGCTCAGCCTCATCCAGGGATGAGTCACAGTGACCAAACAGTTTAAATAAAGCAGAAGGTACCAGATGAGCAGCCCTGTCCTATACAATATGTAGAATTTATTGATGTCTGATAACACCATCAGATTAATGAGAGTTTGAAAATACAGGAGGACAAGTGATGACAAACAAAAATGCCACTTATCCCACAAAGTCACACAAAGATAATATATTTGCCTTTACACAGGATCATGAAAGTTCAGTTTTTCTCCTTTTCTGCTATTAAATAATTCTCTGGCACACAGGAAATCCATTTCATTTAATGATTTTGTAGTGTCTGTATAGACAAGGTATCTGAATAGACAGTACAGAAAAGCTTACATTTTAAAATATATCTATTAAGATTTGATTTGTTTTGATATAGATAAAAATTATTTCGTTGGATTTAGATAAATATGACTGCCCATTATAGGATGCCTCAGAAGGTCAGACAGATCAATCCTCTAAGAGACTCAGTTTTTTAAGTTCAAATTGCTATGCATGGTACCACCATATTTCAAGTTATACTTAAATCCTATATTCATTTAAATACATGTTCAGAACCTTATTCTTGTCCAAAGTACTTCACTAAAATTCTGAGGTTTAAGCTCTGGAAAGAAAACACAATATGCAGTTCTATACCAGAGGTTTCCCACAGCAAAACCCTTCCCCTACCTCCCCCCAGGAGTAAGGCTGCTGCCCACTCCTGCCATACCAGTGTATATTTTTGGCACAAACTTAAATTCAGGGAAGTAGCCACAGTACAATTCCTCATGTAGGTACACTGATGAATTTATGAAGTGCCAGAACTTCTGTATGCCTTTCCTATCACCCACCTCTAGTTTTATACCAGGAATGAATCATCCTCTCTGCTTTTCACAATAAACCCAAAGATCAGTTACTCAGCAAACAGAACTGCTGTCTGAGAAAAGAGGTTTCTGGAAAACAAGGTGACACCAAGGGCAAAATTGTTAAGAACGAGTAGCTTCTCAACAATACTGTATGATCAAAAATCCCTTCAGAGTGGCACTGTGGTGTTGAATATCAGTGGGCATGCTGAGTGTTCAAGTGCCTGCCTTTCCACTGGACCCTGCAGGCTGGAGCTTCAGGGGCAGCCTTCACAGCACCTCAAAACAATTAGGTGTCTCCAGCAAACAAAAGTGATCCTTATGCAAGGTGGATGTCATTGTAGCTAGGATACACTGAAGAATATACTGTCATGCTTCATAATTCACAGGCAGATAGGCATAGACAACAACATGGTTTTGTTTTCATTTGGTTTTACATTCTAGGAATACAGTTCAAGTAATTCCACATATGAAAAACTCCCATGAAACTGCACATGCAAGTGGATAGGAGATACTGTATCACCTTTGCATCTCTGTCTTTTACTTGCAGTTAGCATATTTGGATCTTGTCAACTCAATATACTCTAGCCTTTTCACACTCCTCTCCTACCTCCAGTTCTCCAGAGAAGCTTGCTCAAAGTACAGAGATCAAAGTCAGAATCATTGTGATAGCACAAAGAAATGCTAGTGGCTTTTATGAAAGTATCAATTTTTAAGACATCCATTGACTGTGAATGTTTTAATGTGCCAGCTGTTGATGCTATGCAGCTTTTAGAATGGGACAACCCCTGACTAGGAAAGCCATAACACAAAGGCTGCAGCCACTCATTGCAATAGTGAGGAATGGAAGGAATTTTGTGGCAAAGAATTTTATAAAGACACTTGATGCAGTTTAGAAAACAAGAATATGAAATGTAAAATAGGGATTTTTTTCTTCCTAGGGCTAGGCCTCCTGCAGTCTTTACAAACTGTCCATATGTCATCCAATGCCATAGAACAGATTGACCCAAAGGATTTTCAGAACTGCTCACAGCTGAAGGACATTGACCTGCAAAACAACAAGATAACGAAAATTCATCCAGATGCCTTCAGAGATCTCAACAAATTACAGGTTTTAAAGCAATACAGCTGTTTCAATATTTTATGGTAATCATTAAAGATATTATTTACCAACTATTCAGCATGATTATATGGTTCTGATTATAATACTAGTGTAGAATTTAAAAACTAGAGAAAATGGTGAAAATAATATTTTATATATTTCCTTTTTATATGTAGGAAAACACACATGCTGAAATATAATAGATATAACCATAAATTCACAGTTTCTCTATGCCACAAACCAATCCATAACAACACATGTCCTTTTCTAACCCCACTCCTTCCACGGCGAGAGCTCTGCAGCTCCCTATTTACACAGAGGTAAGTCTACAATGGGAGAAATCTAAACACCACCATTTAACCTTTTCATCTACATTAAAAAGCTTAGTACAACATTATTGAAATCCTAAGCAGATTCACAGAAATCAGAAGTGCTTGTACACTGAAACACTGTTGTAAGATGTTGCAATAAGAATTCCACTGTAAGCCTTATCAAATTAATTCTGTGTTGTTTCCAAATAGGTCGTGGATCTCCGTGAAAATGCTCTGACAATCCCTCTTCCACAAATACTAATCAGTTTGAACTTTTTTCAACTTGAAGTGTATTTCTCAAAGAATGCCTGGATATTTAACTGCAGGCTAAATGCTTTTAAAGAGTTCTTTCATTTTGTCTTTGACTCCACAAGGCAGAAATGGAGCCTTTCCTACAATAAGCCTGCCAACAACTCCCAGAAACCTCTGCTGTATCTTTCAAGCTTCCATTTAAACTGCAGGGACAATGTTTTGCTCAAAAGGGCTACAATCCCAACAGGGAACACATCAGTGCTGAGCTGTAACTTGGACAACATAAGGGGTATGTAAATCAGGCACTCCATTCAAATGTTACTAAAATCCAAATGAACGCAGAATGATCAAATAAATCTGGTTTTTAAAGTGTCTTTCTAAAGACACTGTTTAAAAATAACTGAATAACAATTTAACATGCAAAAATATTTCATTAGAAAGTAGCATTCTGCTTGGAATATTTGAAAGTTAGGTTTCCTGAGTATTCATCTCCTTTCTTACATTAAAGGAGGAAGTGATGCTAAATTCCATACAAATAAGTTTCAGTAAGAAATGCATTGCAAATGTATCGGTTCATTTTGGACTGAAACAAAGGACCTAACAGCAGGGTGACACTTCTGAGGCATGTAGAAAACCAAGAAGGATGCAATAGTTTTCAGTATTCAGTTACAGCAAAATAAATTGAAGGTTTATTGGCAGGGAAAAAGATTTCTAGTTCTTCTAAAGAAGTACAGCCACTGTAGCACACACTTCACTTACATTTAAAATTGATAGAGAACATTGAGAATATAAGCAACAAAATCTAAAGAGCCAAGTCTTACTATGCAGATGGAAAACTAAGACCAAACTCAGAGCAGAAGGCGTATTTGCCATGTGCCATAAGGCAAAATGGTTTAACTCTAATGGCCTAATAGCACTTGGAGGTGG